ATATAGACTGAGAACAGACAGAAGCTAATAGTCAAATAAAACAAAATTTTGGGAACTTAGCAAGAATCGGGTTTACTAGGAACAATTAGAGGACAGGATAGACAGCCACAAATGAAAAAATATTATTGGAGATTACACAGAGAAAAACATTTTATTGACAGACAAACACTCTATTGACAGATGATCAACTGGACCACTAGAGTATACACTGTGATGTACTCTGAAATGGGTGTGTAGCAGTCTAGGAACATGCACCTGGCCATGCCCATGCAGGTGTGCAACTCACCTGAACGTAGGGCAGGTTTGCTCACACCAGGAAAGAGGTCTGGGGTGTAGGGAAACCAATAAAGGCAAAAGGAACAGTAGTAAGAACAACAGGTGGACACTGTGACCAAGGGAGGAAACAAATGCTTCAGCAGAAGGATTCATTACCAGCAAACTGAATGGCTTATGACCACACCACATATTGAAGAGCAGGCCTCTGCCAATGATCCATAAAGAGGAACTCACTACAGAGAGGTCCCTAGGAGCAGTCTGTCCCCAGTTGTGAATTTCGCTATGCAGAACATGTTTCATATGAGTACACATTCTGTTCACTCCTCAAGGTTGGTACCATCTTTATAGATATTCATCAGTGTGCAGAACCCATCGTCCCACCAGACTCATTACATATTGAGAGGAATGTTGTATGATGTGTAAAGTGTCTGTATGTCTCAGGCAAGCAATGTCCACTTACCCAGCATTGTCCATCTGATGCACAGTTTAGCAGCATTCTCTTTCCCCCTCCTGCAATGCAGGGAATAGTTCTCATTTCTTTTCAGTAATTGTTATGGAAGATAAGGGAAGATGGGGATGTATGCGAGTCTCTGTTATCCAGAATTGCATGTTTTGAGTGTGTACATAGAGCAGGATTGTTTGTGTATGCATGTGTGCTTAAATCTGTACTGCAGGATTGTACAGTAATGGGCATGCTAAAATGGCTTCACTTTCTTTGGTTATAAGGATATTCTGTCTGTGGTAAAATGGTCTTGATTAATGTCACTGTGTATGATCTTTCACTAACTGTCATAGTGAAAGTCAGTGTATGTAATATGTCACTGTACACAATCTGTTACTGTCCTGCTGAATTATGTGTCACCACTGTCACAACAACTAATGTCGCTGCATATAATCTGTCACCAAACCGCAGAAATATCCCACTTGGTTTTAAGAGATGATGCAATATGATACATATTATAAGGGGTCAGCCAATCAGATTTATTTTCTACCCATCTGTGACTTTCTTATACAGTCAGGTCCATAAATATTGGAACATCGACACAATTCTAACATTTTTGGCTCTATACACCACCACAATGGATTTGAAATGAAACAAACAAGATGTGCTTTAACTGCAGACTGTCAGCTTTAATTTGAGGGTATTCGCATCCAAATCAGGTGAACGGTGTAGGAATTACAACAGTTTGCATATGTGCCTCCCACTTGTTATGGGACCAAAAGTAATGGGACAGAATAATAATCATAAATCAAACTTTCACTTTTTAATACTTGGTTGCAAATCCTTTGCAGTCAATTACAGCCTGAAGTCTGGAACACATAGACATCACCAGACGCTGGGTTTCATCCCTGGTGATGCTCTGCCAGGCCTCTACTGCAAAAGTCTTCAGTTCCTGCTTGTTCTTGGGGCATTTTCCCTTCAGTTTTCTAATTTTGCCTTTGCCCTATTCTTCTAGCAAGACAGTTCTAGATCTATAAACCCCAATACAACAATGGTTTACAGTGGCAGGAAGAGTGGTACTTTGAAACACAAGTTACACACAAGTTTGAATTACTGTGAACAACATTATGGAGGAGATTTACTAAAACTGGTACACACAGAATCTGGTGCAGCTGTGCATAGTAACCAATACGCTTCTATCTTGAGCTTGTTCAAGTAAGCTTTGACAATAAAACCTAGAAGCTGATTGGTTACTATGCACAGCTGCACTAGATTCTAGATTCTGTGTGCACCAGCTTTCCCCCTATGTGTTCCAAGCTGTGTGCTGCCCCTGCCAGGCTTCCGCTCTAGGACATGGCTTGTCTATACAGAAACCTAACCATGCATACAGTGCATCCAGAAAGTATTCACAGCGCTTAACTTTTGCCACATTTTCCTATGTTAGAGTCTTATTCCAAAATGGATTAAATTAATTTTTTTCCTCAACATTCTACAAACATTACCCCATAACGACAATGTGAAAGAAGTTAATTGCAATTTATTAAAAATAAAAAAAACTAAAAAAAAACATGTACATAAGTATTCACAGCCTGTGCCATGACACTCAAAATTGAGCTCTGGTGCATCCTGTTCCCACTGATCATTCTTGAGATGTTTCCACAACTTGATTGGAGTCCACCTGTGGGAAATTCAGTTGATTGGACATGATTAGGAAAGGCATAAACCTGTCTATAAAAGGTCCCACAGTTAACAGTGCATGTCAGAGCACAAACCAAGCCATGAAGTCCAAGGAATTGTCTGTAGACCTCCGAGACAGGATTGTATTAAGGCACAGACCTGGGGAAAGGTACAGAAAAATTTCTGCAGCATTGAAGGTCCCAATGAGCACAGTGGCCTCCATCTTCCCGTAAATGGAAGAAGTTTGGAACCACCAGGAATCTTCCTAGACCGGGCCGCCCGCCCAAAATGAGCGAGTGAGGGAGGAGGACCTTAGCCAGGGAGGTAACCAAGCACCCGATGGTCATTCTGAAAGAGCTCCAGCGTTTCTATGTGGAGAGAAAAGAACCTTCCAGAAGAACAACCATCTCTGCAGCATTCCACCAATCAGGCCTGTATGGTAGAGTGGCCAGACGGAAGCCACTTCTCAGTAAAAGGCAAATGGCAGCCTGCCTGGAGTTTGCCAAAAGGCACCTGAGGGACTCTCAGACCATGAGAAACAAAACTCTCTGGTCTGATGAAACAAAGATTGAACTCTTTGGCCTGAATGCCAAGCGTCATGTCTGGAGGAAACCACTCACCACCTGGCCAATACCATCCCTACACTGAAACATGGTGGTGGCAGCATCATGCTGTGGGGATGTTTTTCAGCGGCAGGAACTGGGAGACTAGTCAGTATCAAAGGAAAGATGCATGCAGCAATGTACAGAGACATCCTTGATGAAAACCTGTTCCAGAGCTCTGGACCTTAGACTGGGGCGATGGTTCATCTTTCAACAGGACAATGACCCTAAGCACACAGCCCATGTAACAAAGGAGTGGCCACCTCTGTGAATGTCCTGGAGTGGCCCTGCCAGAGTCCAGACTTGAACCTGATTGAACATTTCTGGAGAGATCTGAAAATGGCTGTGCACCGACATTCCCCATCCAACCTGATGGAGTTTGAGAGGTACTGCAACGAAGAAGGGGAGAAATTGCCCAAAAATAGGTGTGCCAAGCTTGTAGCATCATACTCAGAACGACTTGAGGCTGTAATTGGTGCTAAAGGTGCTTCAACAAACTATTGAGCAAAGGCTGTGAATACTTATGTACATGTGGTTTTTTATTAATTTTTTATCTTTAATAAATTGCAAAGATTTTAAAATGAACTTCTTTCACGTTGTCATTATGAGGTATTTTTTGTAGAATGTTGAGGAAAAAAATTAATGTAATCCATTTTGGAATAAGGTTGTAACATAGCAAAATGTGGTAAAAGTTTAGTGCTGTGAATACTTTCTGGATGCACTGTATATGATCCCCCAATGATACGAGCACATGTAGAACAGCACTGGAACAACATAGTCCATATTCTAGAGACGCTATGTTTATTTAGCACAGGAACTCTCAACCACTTATCTGCACTTATTTCTCACACCATCTTAGACTCATTCTTGTACTGTTGTGACTAGTAATATTTGGAACCACAACTGAGAAGTGATAATTCTTTGGATGTTCTTCTGTTGTGAATGATTTGCTAAATAGTTTCTTTTTCTGGAGAAAATTGTGGTGGTATTGTTGAAAAATAAATAATTTGCCCTGCAGTATCAGAATCTGGCACTTAGATTGCTTGTATGTCTGTCAAGTTTAAGCTGAATATTTGACATCATGGTCAGACTTTATTGCAATTTTCTATAAACTGTCACAGACCAATTACCAATTATGGACATTAATGTTACAGCTTTCAGATTTCATGTTGCTGGGATGGGAAAGGTGTACAGGTGGCATGTAACAACTAACAAATAAGGTTAGATTCTAAGGCTGCAGATAATGAAAGCAAAAAAGCACATGTTGTTTAATTAGGAACACGTTCAGAGCAGATCAGCACAACATTGGGTCTTTCACACCAAAGCACAGTGTCATGATTCATGATCATCCGATCCTTCAAAGACAAGATACTTTCCCTGAGTCTTGACATGGTAGATCTCTTGCAGCAGATGACATCAGTGGAGCTATTAAGTACTATCAAACTAAAGTTTTGTAAAGTAAGAGCTGCTATTACAGGTACCTTGCTGACTGAGACAAATGGATCTCTGAGCTTGAAAAATGAAAAATATTATGATCCAAAAGAAGACAGCACTTTAAGTGTGTAAACCCAATCACTAAAATTTTTGATAAGCTTTAACATGTCACTGTTATTTCAAGATTATATATATCTAAACCTGTGCTAATAAAAATTTTAATAAATGATCAATAATCAAAAAATGAAGTGTATAACATATAGCAGCTGAACACAATAACCCTAATACTAGGCAATAACCAATATATACATAAGAGTGCAGCGCTTAACCACCTTCCGCTCGCCCTATAGTACAATGACGGGCGCAAGGTGGTTCTCTCGTTCTGATAGGACGTCATATGACGTCCTACCATTCTCACTGCGCATGCGTGGCTCAGGGAGCACGCAGCGCGGCGATCGCCGGTGTGCTGTGTCCCTCGGACACAGCAGATCATGGAAAGAGCCGAAGATGTCTGCTAGGCCATGTGATCAGCTGTGTCCAATCACAGCTGATCACATGTAAACATGGAAATGCCGGTTATTGGCATTTCTCTCCTCTCGAGCTGTCACGCTGACAGCTCGAGAGGAGAGGAGAGCCGGTAATCGGCTTTCCGCGGAGGGGACATGTACACTGATCATCAGGGCACTGATGATCAGTGTGCCCTGATGATCAGTGTGGCCCCAGAAGTGCCACATGTCAGTGCTCATCAGTGCCACGTGCCAGTGCCCATCAGTGCCACATCAATGCCACATATCAGTGCATACCAGTGCACATCAATGCCACATATCAGTGCCCACCTGAGCTGCCTTTCAATGTCACCCATCAGTGCCAGTCAGTGCCACCTTATCAGTACTGCCAATCAGTGCCACCTATCAGTGCCAGTCAGTGTCGCCTATCAGTGCGCATCAGTGCCCATCAGTGATGCCTGTCAATGCCCATCAGTGCAACCTACCAGTGCCTCCTCATCAGTGTCCATCAGTGCAGCCTATCAGTGCCCATCAATGCAGCCTCATTAGCGCACATCAGTGAAGGAGAAAAATCACTTATTTACAAAATTGTATAACAAAAACTAAGAAAAAACTTTTTTTTTCAAAATTTTCAGTGGTTTTTGGTTTGTTTAAGAAAAAATAAAAATCCCAGAGGTGATTAAATACCACCAAAAGAAAGCTCTATCTGTCTAAAAAAATGATAAAAATTTCATATGGGTACAGTGTTGCATGACCGCGCAATTGTCATTGAAAGTGTGACAGCGCTGAAATCTGGAAATTGGCCTGGGCAGGAAGGGGGTAGAAGTGCCCTGTAGGCTAGTGGTTAAAAAAGTGACAGATAACTGTAAGAAAACAGTGAAACAATTTGTCAAAAAATGGTGACACAACAACTGTCTTTGGATTTCCTTTGTTTCATCACAGCCTCTGGGACTTTTTCTTTATTTTTGGATGGACTATTTTTTGACAAATTGTTTCACTGTTTTATTACAATTATCTGTCACTTTTTTAAGAGCTGCACTCTTATGTATATATTGGTTATTGCCTAGTATCAGGGTTGTGTTCAGCTGTTGTACACTTCATTTTTTGATTATTGATCATTTAATAAAATTTTTGTTAGCGCAGGTTTATATATATATAATCTATTGAAATAATAGTGACAAGTGAAAAGGCTTACCAGAAAGGCATGACCCCCTGATAAGAGTGGTCAATCACGCTTTGTTAAACAACCCAGAAAGCCAGTCACTCAAATCCTCCTCCGGATCACAAAAAAAGGAGATAAAGATCTTCCAAGCTTGGGGAGAAGACAGGTCATGTTTGTTAAAGCTAAAGGCTTTCCCATCTATATGCATGTTCAGTAGTAGCTGTTTTGTGCCCCAAAGTCTGTGCTGCCCCAGGCAGGGATACACAGTGTCAAATTTGGGATTGGGGCTGAATGTTTCCTACTATGAGTCTGAGCCTTATGCTGAGTGGTTTAGCTACCCTAAGTAAGGTCCATTGTTTGCAAGATCTTTATCTGCTCTTTTGGTGATCCGCAGGATTCCAGTGACCAGCTTTCTGGGTTGTTTAACAAAGCACGATTGACCACTCTTAACAGGGGGTGATGCCTTTCTGATAAGCCTTTTGCATGAGTGGTTGGTGACACAACTATCCTTGGATTTCCTTTGTTTCATCACAACCTCCGGGACTTTTTCTTTATTTTTGGATGGACTATTTTTTGACACATTTTTTCTGTTTTCTTACAATTATCTGTCACTTTGTTAATCGCTGCACACTTATGTATATATTTCAATAGTTATAATAATTTTAACCCACTGCTTTTATTACAGTGATCCTGCCATGAAAGTCCTTCTATGGGCACTTCCCATTAGAGGGTGACAACGCTCTTTCAATTGTTCTACTGTGTTGTCAACCTGTCACACAGTCTCCCAGTGGAGACTACAGGTGATTGTTTCAACACACATAATGTAGGTATTGTCCACTGGTGTCACCATCAGGAAACTTTCACTGAGAAATGCTACACAGCCATCACTCAAATGCATGGATGTAGATAGAAAGGGGCTGCAGAGAGGCTGCCTGAGATCAGCAGTGCCGATATGCAACAAAAGATGAAAGGTGAAAACAGATTTTAAAAACCTAATAAAATTACAATTGTTTATGATACACCGTGCGTTAGCAAACTACAAATGTTATTTCAATTTACTTTAAAATTTTTAGCCCTCTCTCACCTTAAGGGCAGCACTCATCTTTCCAAACCCATCATATCCACTGAACCCTTGCTTGTCCCTATAATCCCAAAATGCCCAAAATTAGAATTTGAAGCTGCATTTCCATAATCGAGATACTTCCTGCTAGTAGGAGCTATAGCGTTCAGTCCTCCTACTGGCATTCCTTTTCTGCCTCTAACCATATTCAGGTCCCTATAGATGGTCACCCAAATTTTGTATACATGGATAATCTCCTGCCTCGTGACTATTTAGTTTACTGATTTTTTTTTTGCATTAGCTCTCTGGGCAAGGGCAGAAATATCCTAGAAACAGGGGAAATCTCCTACTACGTTTTTAGACTTGTAACAGTATTTGTACAGTTAAATTAAACCATACAGCTCTGCTTACAATGGTGCAGCATTCTTCAAGTTAGGCAAGTCTTCACAAAAATGTCTGCTGCTGTTAAATGCTACTTCCCTTAAGTTTCTCATTCAGGGGCAAAAGGTACATTAGCTAAAGGATTCCTTGTTTAAAGGAAGACCTCCCTCAAACAGTCTGTTTTACAACATAACACCAATTATTTTTCAGGCTTTCCAATTTTCTAGTCAAGACATAAGTCACAACACAAGTCCTAATTATTTCAAAAACAGGGGGCACAGTGTGCCTATAATAAAAACATGGACCTAGATTCATACAACAAAAATTATTAGGTGCTTTAATACATAAACATTTAAATTCACAAACCAGAAAATGGTGAAAAGTTCCAGATCAAAGTCCCGTGTGAATATTTGAAATTTAATCCACTCTTTTTAGTGAACCGTGACTTCTTATTATAACAAATGTGCCCCAAACTTTGCTTCTTCTCCCCCACCTCAGAAAAACATGTGTTGCACCCAGTGAGTTGGTGATACACTATGCCAGTGATGGCGAACCCGTGGCACGCGTGCCACAGCCGGCACGCCGAGCCTATCTGTGGGCACGCCAGGAGAATACCGTATTTTTCGCTCCATAAGACGCACTTTTTTTCCCCCAAAAAAGGGGGGAAAATGTCAGTGCGTCTTATGGAGCGAATATAGAGCGGCCGGTCCAGTATTTCCACCGCCGCCGTGTCAGAATACGGGGCCGGCCGCTCAGCTCTGCAGTGGGACCTTACCTGTCCCTCTATCCAGCGGCGCGCTGTCTTCCCGGCTTCTGTAGTGTGCGTGACAGCCGGGTCCCAAGTGCGCATGCGCAAGAAGCAGTGCTCTTTGTGAATGGTAAGGTGGTACCTGGGACACATGACAGATCCCAGAAGCCGCCGGACCAATCACAAAGCGCAGCGCTTCTCGCGCATGCGCACTGGGCATCCGGCTGTCCGACGAGCGCCCACACTACAGAAGCCGGGAAGACAGCGCGCGGCTGGATAAAGGAACAGGTAAGATAAAAAAAAAACTCTGCGGAAGTAAGAGCGGGTACCTGTCAAATTCAGGTACCCGCTCCCCCTCCCTCCCCAAAGGTCAGCAGTCATCTGTACTGTCCGCAGTCTCTGGTCATCCCTGTGCTTTCCGCAGTCTCTGGTCATCTCCTGTACTGTCCGCAGTCTCTGGTCATCCCTGTACTGTCCGCAGTCTCTGGTCATCCCTGTACCGTGTCCGCAGTCTCTGGTCATCCCTGTACCGTGTCCGCAGTCTCTGGTCATCCCCTGTACCGTGTCCGCAGTCTCTGGTCATCCCTGTACTGTGTCCGCAGTCTCTGGTCATCCCTGTACTGTCCGCAGTCTCTGGTCATCCCCTGTATTGTCCCCAGTCTCTGGTCATCTCCTGTACTGTGTCTGCAGTCTCTGGTCATCTCCTGTACTGTGTCCGCAGTCTCTGGTCATCTCCTGTACTGTGTCTGCAGTCTCTGGTCATCCCTGTACTGTGTCCGCAGTCTCTGGTCATCCCTGTACTGTGTCCGCAGTCTCTGGTCATCCCTGTACTGTGTCCGCAGTCTCTGGTCATCCCTGTACTGTGTCTGCAGTCTCTGGTCATCCCTGTACTGTGTCTGCAGTCTCTGGTCATCCCTGTACTGTGTCTGCAGTCTCTGGTCATCCCTGTACTGTGTCTGCAGTCTCTGGTCATCCCTGTACTGTGTCTGCAGTCTCTGGTCATCTCCTGTACTGTGTCCGCAGTCTCTGGTCATCCCCTGTACTATGTCTGCAGTCTCTGGTCATCCCTGTACTGTGTCTGCAGTCTCTGGTCATCCCTGTACTGTGTCCGCAGTCTCTGGTCATCTCCTGTACCGTGTCCGCAGTCTCTGGTCATCTCCTGTACTGTGTCCGCAGTCTCTGGTCATCCCTGTACTGTGTCTGCAGTCTCTGGTCATCTCCTGTACTGTGTCTGCAGTCTCTGGTCATCCCCTGTACTATGTCTGCAGTCTCTGGTCATCCCTGTACTGTGTCTGCAGTCTCTGGTCATCCCTGTACTGTGTCCGCAGTCTCTGGTCATCTCCTGTACCGTGTCCGCAGTCTCTGGTCATCTCCTGTACTGTGTCCGCAGTCTCTGGTCATCCCTGTACTGTGTCCGCAGTCTCTGGTCATACCTGTACTGTGTCCGCAGTCTCTGGTCATACCTGTACTGTGTCCGCAGTCTCTGGTCATCCCTGTACTGTGTCTGCAGTCTCTGGTCATCCCTGTACTGTGTCCGCAGTCTCTGGTCATCCCTGTACTGTCCGCAGTCTCTGGTCATCCCTGTACTGTTAATTAATTTGCACTACTGTACGAGTTGTTTTTTCTAAACCAAAAGCTCGATATTCAGGTTTCATTGCAGTGTTGGCACTTTGAAAGAAATAAGTTGGTTTTGGGTTGCAGTTTGGGCACTCGGGCTCAAAAAGGTTCGCCATCACTGCACTATGCACTCACCAAATCAATATGACATATTTTTATCTATATCTGTTTGCCAGTTGAACTTCCCTCTAAAGCCCTCCAGCCTGGGCAACAGACAAGTGGGGGTTTATTTACTAAAGCTGGAGAGTCCAAAATCAGACTCCCTTCTGCATAGAAACCATTCAGCTTCTAACCTCAGCTTGTTCAATGAAGCTTTGGCAATGAAACCTGGAAGCTGATTGGTTTCTATGCAGAAGTGAGTCTGATTTTGCACTCTCCAGCTTTAGTAAATAAACCCCTTTATGTCTTTGGACTGCTTAAATTACAGGTACGGCGGTACTGGTCTCCCTGCTGGTATTGGTGTCATGTGACAATAAATCAGGAAGAACCTATAATGATTTCATAAATGTTATTTACACTTTATCCCTGAAGTCACTAAAGATACAAATGTCTGGAATTTTATCCATAAATACATACTTTGTTTGGCTCAGCTTGCCTGTAAATTACCTCCACTGTAATACATGTTGTG